AAAGGGTTAAAGATAACCATTGTTACAGATTAGGATGTTATTTGTTAAATAGATGTTAGCTAAACACAGAGCTTTTGTTATTTTACATTACGTTATTTACAATTTATTTCAGCTCAAAAGTTGTTAAGAATCACTGCACAGATTTCCTAACAAGTTTAAACAGGAACATTAGTTAGAGGTTATGTTGCATGTTAAAACAGATCCAGTTAATACATAAGACAAAAGATGTGTTGTGCTGTAACAAGTGCAATTAAGAAAATCACCAATAAAAAAATATCCAGCACTAAAACAAATTTACAGCCAGGAAGTTTAACCCTTTAACCCTTAAGAGCGACTAACATCTAATTTCTCCCTACAATATCACCACTGAATCACACATTAATGTCATGAGAATAAAGGAAATGATCACCACCTAAAGTAAGTCTTGATTGTTGGACAAATTCTCCTTGTCAGCACATTAATAAATGTACAGAGAACAGTATGGAGATTATGAATACTGATGTTAGGGTGTAAAGGTTTAAGAACTCACCGTAATTCCTTGTGCAAGCACCCACCTCTAGTAAGCGCCCTTCCCCTATGGCGCAAATTCTTAGCCACAGAATGACCAAGAGGCCAAAATAATTTGTGTTGCAAATAATTTCATGATTTTCACTTGTAGGAGAAAAGTAAGGACTTTTTCTTAATCAAAATCTTCCCTCTCTATTTGAATCCAAAACTAAAATATCTTACAAACCTTCTTTTCTCTGCCAGTACTGTAAGTTACGGAATGTTGTTTCATTGTGCTCAGATCTATGCCCCATGCACTTTGTGCTTGAGCCATAAATCCAAGTGGTAAAAACTAGGTCCATACGCTTACAGTACAGACCTCAAACTTGGTTAGCAAAAGGTATTTATTGGGGCTTTTACTCCTCTGAAAGATAATGATGCCCAGCAATTTTTAATAGCCTGCCTAGAGGAGGGCGCTTACAGAAGGACTTACGGTGATGCTGATGAATCCCTCGGCTGCTTCTCTGTGCTGTTCTTAAAAGTCTACTTCCCACAATGATTTTTAACTGAATCAACATATTTCACAATGAAGAAAACACGATTCAGTGTATAGTGAACACTGACAAGAATGTGAGGTCGTCTGAATGAGAAAAATCCTGAAAAAGGACTCTTTGGAAACTCTGATTGACAATGGCAGAAGTCATCATCAAAGTCAAACAAAAAAAATTGTTTTCAGGCCGAAAGTTTCTTGGCAACATTTCTTTGAAACAATAGTTGCTGACATCTGATCCGCAGCATCTGTTTGAAGATGGCATTCAAGCTTTTTGGTGCATAGATATTTAACAATTGTCTTACTGCTCTTTTTCTTAAAAAAAAGCAAAATTACATTTACAGGCAAAAATAACCTTGTGAGGCCCTTCAGACCTTGCAACCCTCAAGTGAGGGGCACACAATCTATAAAAACTACAAGAGGCGATTGTTATTTTGCCATTTGTAATTTTCAGAGCCAGCAAAATGTGTCAGTGGATCAGTGAGGGTGAGGTTTTGAGTGGTTACATACAGGATGAAGCAAATTTTGAGGCATTTCAAATAAAACATTTATCGCAACTTCAGAGAGTTTCAGCTTTCTTTAATCAAAATCAAAGACATTTAGTTTGATTGCAAAAGTCTCAAAGAGCACATACCAAATGTGTAAAAGAAGATGTAATTTAACAATGATTTAGGTTTAAATCCCTGTAATAACAAATTACTGCTAATGGTTATTTGCATATATTTTTTAACTGGGAACCTACTTCGAAAAATGTGAGAAAAAGCTTCATTAAGAGTAAAAACATTTAGAAAAACATATTTTTAACCAAGTAGTTAATTCTTTCTTTCTGTCAAGGGAAAATAACCAGTATGAGCTAACTTAACTTGTGTCCAGAAATCTCGAATTACCTCTTATCCAAAGAATGTTCTGAGTGGTTATAAACCTATGACTAGTGGTGCCTGTAAACTCCTAACTATTTAATTTAAGCAATTAACCCTTTAACTCCCAAGATCTCATTAGTAATTCTCCTCACTGTCTGCCAAATGATTCTCGTTATGTTAGTTTGGAGAATTTGGCATTGGATCAATTAGTAATCCCATGATTAATATTTTACTTTATTCTCATAACTTGTCTGCATGATATTGTATTGATATAGTAAGGAGAAATTCTGTCTTGGTCACTCACAGGAGTTAAAGGGTCCTCTCTGTCAGTTTATTGACATCATAAACCATTTAGGATGTTTAGCCATTGTGAAAAGAAATTGTAAATCATGAGCTGTGAATTTTACAAAAGTAAATAAGAAGGAAGAACAATTTCTCAAATTATTCATAGCTCCTATTTTCTTATCAAAAGCTACTACTGATATTTCCCAGGTTACGGCTTCTTAAAAAGAGAAAAAAAAAATTTAGTTGACTGAATACAAATTTTGACATGGAATTAAAGACCTACAAATGTTGTCAAAACATAGTTTACCTAATTGTGTAGTCAAGTATATTTATAAGAAATGGTTCAAATTGATTCATAACATTTATAGGCTCACACAATTATCTGAGATTTAAAAATCATTCAAACAATTTTGAGCAGCAATTCTTTAAGGATAAAATCTATTTACGGTGATAAAAGTTGCAAAATATTTCATACTACAAAATACTCGAAAATTTTGAAAATTTTACTACATTAAACAACATTTAAGATCTCATACAAACTGCAAATTTCTTGAATAAAAATTTAAAAAATTAGGTTTTTTTAACTATGTTATTTTATTTTGTAATTTAAAAATGATGACATTTTTATACAGATGTTTCCATCCTAAAAGACAGCCCTGTTTAGAGTTGATAACAGAAAAAAAGTGTAAGTTAAACAATAAATTTCAGAAACTATATGCCATTATAAAATTCAATCATAATTATGGCGAATTGAGTGAAGAGTTTACTCAAGTGTTTCAGGCTTTCATGTAAGCAAAATGGCTCTAAATTAAAATTGATTTTAATGGTTAGCAGTAGATTGTAATAGTTAGCAGTAACTGTTAATGATTCAAGAAATTTATTCATAACTAACCTCACAAATAATTCTCACTATGATAGATATCTTCCATTCTCTTTATATAACTTTCGGAGGGGGGGGATCTCCCCCAATTCCACATTCCCTATTGCTGCACATTTGACTCCCCTTCCCCCATTCACTGGGAAACATTACTAATTACTGACTAAAAAGGGTTTCTATAACAAAGTTTCCACTTCATGCAATTTCTTCTCTCATCTCCTCACCCCTTCCATCCCCTACTCCTTCATGCTCCTAACCCTGTTGC